GTTGCTGGGAAGTTGCTCGGGTGCTGGGAGCAGGCTTTTAAAGTGCCGCCCGAGCAGGACCGCCGAGCCGGGAAACGGGGCACCAAGGCAGGGCAAAGCTCCACCAGCAGCGGCCTAGCTTTAGGTGGCTCCAAGCAGCCCGCCCCGCCCGCCGGGTGGAACCCTTCCCGCTCCTCGGCGGGAAGACGCTCCAGCCTGCAAGCTTTGCCTTTGCAAAGTTTAAGCCTGGAAGCCCCGGAAAAAAAAGGGGGATCGGTGGGGACTCACCTTCGGAGAGGTCGCACTCGAAGGTGATTTCGAACTCCCAGCCGAGGCCTTTGCAAATTTCTTTTCTTTCCTACCCCTAGATCGCTCCGCACTGTTTTGCAGCTTTGGGGGCCACGCGGCACAGGGCAATTACGCCACGCCCAGCGATTTTTTTTCAGGGGCGGGCTGGATTGGACAGATCAATGGCAGCGATTTTTTTTCAGGGGCGGGCCGCATTGGACAGACCAACGGGCCGGATGTGGCCCGCGGGCCGTAGTTTGCCCACCCCTGCTCTAGAGCCACATGCAGCTCTTTCGGCCCTCTGCTGCGGCTCCCTGTCGGTTGATCCCACCACTGGCTGGCCCTGCCCCTCCCCTCCCCGTCACTCTTCACCTGGCCTGAGAAGGTAAGGGTGATGGCGGGGGATGGAGACTCGCTCCATATTCCAGAGCAGGAGGTGACTGGATGGAAGTGAGTGACATTGAATTGGCCACACCCACCCAGTCACACTGGTTGTTAAATTATTGGCCCCCAGTGTTTTCTTTTCTGTGAGAAACAGGTCCAAATGGCTCTTTGAGTGTTTAAGGTTGCAGACCCCTGGTCTAGAGAACTAATGTTGTCCAAAGACCCTTTCCATGCTCATGTGGCTAGCATGACTATATACTGAGGTCCACAGAACATGGTTGCCTTCTCACTGAAGTGGTAGTTATTTATCTACATGCATTTGCATGCTTTCGAATTGCTAGGTGGGCAGGAGCTGATGCAAGGACCGGAGCTAGGCTGTCAGCTTTCTAGCTGACAGGCTCAGTGTTGTGGCCCATTGACTGCCAGCAGAGCTAGCAGCAGAGTTAGATGAGAAGGTTGAGGGAGAGCCTGGGCCAGCTTCAAAGCCTTTGGAAGGTTTTAATAAGGAAACAGTATCAGAGCCAGAGCCGGGCCTTCCATCGTCCGCTAGATGGAGAGGCTGTCTTAGGGGCCTGAGCTGAGTCAGGGGGAGGAATAGATGGGGCCCATCCCAGATGTGCGTATGCGTACACAGGAAAGGAGAGTAAGAGTAAAGGAAAGCAATAAGCCGGTGCTCAGGGAAAAACAGACATAGATGCTAGCTAGCACCTCCCTGGTTGGGAAATAAATAGTAAGGGTTTGGGAGTGGCTGGTATGTGTTTGGAAGAGTTGATAGCTGTTCAAAACCAGATCCTTTTGACCGGATAAAAATGCGTGGTGTTTTTAAAGTGAAATCTTTTTGAGAGAAACTGCAGCTCATTATTTAAGGAAGGCAGCATAACCAAACAGTTTTCATATTTCCTGGGAGGCTGTATAAGTTTCAGGGTAGTCCGAATGCAGAAAGGATTCTATCGCATTTGATTTAATTTCTGTTTCTTTGTATCCAAGATAGAGGCTGCTTGCTTTTTATTGTCTCATAGTGTGCAATGCTTTCTTTCTCTTCCCCCCTCCCCCCCTCCTCCCCCAAACAGGGTAAGAGTAAGTGGTGAATTCTACATCTTTTCAAAAACACCACGTAAACACAGATTTGTGTAGATCGTGCATTGGAACAGATGGATAATGGAGACTGGGGATATATAGTAAGTATTTCTATTGCTCAATAACACATATTTTTCAGAATACAATTTTTTTTTTCATTATACAAAGTTTCCACAGATAGTTATCTTAATCCCAAAGCTACATTTAAAATACACAGGTCTTCACAGGTCTTCACAGACCTACAGCAAAAGTTAATTTGCTAATTAGGAGGATAATTCAGAGACCATGTTTATGCTAGATTTCATGCAGCCATTTTTTTCAGCAAGTCTGATGTAGTGATCCTATTTTCAATTAATCTCCGCCTGCTAGAATGCTTGTTGCGTGGTGAAACCTCATTCAGAAAAGCTTATGTTGGAGAAATTCCCAGTATCCTTGGATGTTCTAGGAAATTCAAGTGAACATCTCTAGTTTCACAGCACTGTATTCCAAAAAATTCTGTGTACTTTGGATTCTGCCCCATGTTCTTTTCTGCATGATTTTTCCCCCCCAGTGAATCAGTAACAAACTACTTTCCAATTGGGTTTTAAGTAATCATTGCTACCTCAACTATTTCCACCAATAAACAAGGAAATGTTGCAAATTGTTTACCTTTTCTATGTATGTCATATTTTAAAAAGCCTTACATGCCAGAAGCAATTTATACCTTCTCTGATGCACATTTCAGAATCACAGTTTTTCAGTGGTACAATTTTTCTAAATTATTTCAGTGAGGTGTTTTTTTGTTATTTAGAATAGAATAACAATGGAAGGAATCTTGGAGGTCGTCTTCTATTCCAACCCCCTGCTTAGGCAGGAAACCCTATACCATTTCAGACAAGTGGTTATTTGACTCTTCTGAAAACTCCATTCAAAACTGATACATTGATCCTCCCACATTGCATTCTTTTATATATATTATTCAGTTGGGTGGTTGTTGTCAATTATAAGCTATCCTGGAATCCAGCCAACAAGGCCTGTAGGGTATGGGGGTCAAACTCCCAGTGTCACTTTGCCATCATGTGACAATTTTGCAACATCTTTTTTCCCTTCACAGAGCTGGGGGGGGGGCATGGTGCACGCATGATGCATCTAGCCCGTGGGCCACCGGTTTGATACTCCTGCTATAGGGGAAGTTAAACGGTATAGGGGTACCACTTTAAATTGTGATCTATTGGATTTGCTTAGCCTTTTAAATATCTGAAAGAAGGTTAAACCTGTTTCCCATTCCAGAATGCAAAAGTGGGTTAAAATTAAAGAAAGGCAATTTCCAGGTAAACGTTTGAAAAATACTTCCTAACAATAACATTAGGTGATTATGAATCAAGTGATTTATTGAATACACATAGTCCTCAGCTTATGACTTCAATTGAGCCCCAAATTATGTTAAGTGAGAAATCTGTTAAGTGAGTTTGCTCCATTTCACAAATTCTCACCACATTTGCTAAATGAATCACTGCAGTTCTTAAATTAGTAACACGGTTGCTAAGTGAATTTGGTTTCCCCATTGACTTTGTTTGTCAGAAAGTCGCAAAAGGGGATCACATGACTCAGGGACCCTGCAGCTATCATAAATTATGAGTCAATTGTCAAGCATCCGAAGGTAAATCACGTGACCGTGGGGATGCTGCAATGGTCATAAGTATGAAAAATGGTCATAGGTCACTTTTTTCAGTGCCATTGTAACTTTGAAGTCGAGGACTGCCTGTATTTAAAACCAGGTAACGTGTGCTCATATGAGTGTAAAAGTGTTCTGAAACTTATTTTTTCTTCCCTAAGATGACTGAGCCGATCACTCTAAATGTGGGTGGACACTTGTACACAACATCGCTTACAACTCTTACGAGATATCCTGATTCGATGTTGGGGGCCATGTTCAGGGGCGATTTCCCGACTGCCAGAGATTCTCAGGGCAATTACTTCATTGACCGAGATGGGCCTCTTTTCCGGTACGTTCTCAACTTTCTACGAACCTCAGAGCTAACTCTACCGTTGGATTTTAAGGAATTTGATCTGCTTCGGAAAGAGGCAGATTTTTACCAGATCGAGCCCTTAATACAATGTCTGAATGATCCTAAACCTTTGTATCCTGTGGATACTTTCGAAGAGGTAGTAGAGTTGTCTAGTACACGCAAACTATCAAAGTACTCCAACCCGGTGGCAGTGATCATCACACAGCTAACCATCACAACCAAGGTCCACTCCTTGCTGGAAGGCATTTCCAACTATTTCACCAAGTGGAATAAGCACATGATGGACACCAGGGACTGCCAGGTTTCTTTCACATTTGGGCCCTGCGATTACCACCAAGAAGTCTCGCTCAGAGTCCACCTGATGGAGTATATAACAAAGCAAGGCTTCACCATCCGAAACACGAGGGTCCACCACATGAGTGAACGAGCCAATGAAAACACAGTCGAGCACAACTGGACTTTCTGCAGGCTGGCGCGGAAAGTGGATGATTGATTTTCTGTTCGTTCTCTTGTTTTTAATTTTCAAGAAGATGACCCAGCATCCCCGGAACAATGTATTACGAATCAGTCTGGCTTTGTCTAAAACGGTATTGGAGGCTTTCTGTTCTTATTTTGCTATGAATATTTATTATTGGTTTTTAAAGATTGGAGAGTGGACATGTGTTGGACTCTTCTGTCTTTTGTCTCGTGATATGCATGTGGCTGCTCTAATATTATGACTTTTTAAAAACAAAGGATACACAAGAGGGCATCCTTTAAAAACATGGCAGATGATCACATTATAACGTTTTTGTTTTGTTATGGTCATTGACCACAATATAGAATGCTAAAAATCAGTCTTCAGGTTCAAACTGTGTTTAATCCATCTCCTTATGATTACAACTTCTGGGAACAAGAGTTAAAGGGTTAAATAAGAAGTTAAAGCTGGAGAAATTCCTTCTGGATTGTCCCCAGAAATGGCTATGGTGCTTTTGGAGATGAAATACTACCATCATGTAATCTAACATTGTTTTTCCTTAAATCAGTGAGTGAACAGTATTATAACAATTTAGTTACCAACAAACCTCCATTGTTTTTATTTTCCAAAATGCAGCATTTTGCAGTTATGGCAACTGTTCCTTTTTATGCATTATAAATCAAGCAACCAAATATTATATCTGCACAATTAGAAGTATTCATATTGGATTCTGAATGCAAATCCATCCTGTGGTAGAAATCCTTATTTTTTTAATGCCATGTGCAATATTATTTCCAAATGTAATGCTTTTCAACAAACGCTAATAAAACACAGTCTGGAAATTATATTTGCAAGCTGTTTGTTCCTAGGACATGTAAGAATGGCAAAGGAAAGAACATTTAAAATAGGGACAGTACTTAAAATTATTGGCAGGGCTTTTCAAAGCATTTGTAAATGGAAAGTAGGCTGGACAATGCAAATGACATTTTCTTAGAATAGGAACCAATATGCCGTACCTCCTGTTCTGCTCTCCACCCCATCTGATAATTAAATGAGAAGTTTGCATGCTATACAAAGCCCTACTCTCTGGTGTAGCGTTTGTTCCCTAGGGGGCCTTTGGCCTCATGTAAAGCATTCTTAGAAAATGAAGTGGGTTGGGATGCAGGGAGCAGAAATTGGTTGCAGAAGCAACTTCATTTTTTGCGTTCTGATAAATTCCATTTTTGCTATGCCATTTAGAGCAATTGTTTCATGAATATATCTTTCCATGGAAATCCTTTGTTGACAATGTCCCCAAAATGATCTCAAAATTCCAGGGATCCATTCAGATACAGAAAGATTATTCTTTCCAGTCTTCTTCTTCTTTTTCTTCAGCGTTTGTCTCGCGCTCTGGCGAGGTCCGCTAATGTCCTTGAGTATTGCTTCCACGCCTCTCTGTCTGCCACGTATGTCGGGTCTGCCTTCGCGATCTCTAGATCGGCCTTGATCGTGTCCATCCAGCGTTGCTTAGGTCTACCACGCGGTCTCGCTCCTCCGACAGTCACCTTCATCGCAGATTTGATGATGGATTCTTCCTTGGCGCGACTCACATGGCCGAACCATCGTAGCCGGGACTGCCTCATGACCGTGGGGATGGGCACGACGTTGAACCGTCTACGCACTTCTTCGTTCCTGACGCGATCGAGTAGGGTAAGATTATTCTTTCCAGTATAGAATCTGAATACTTGGTCCATTTGGCCCAAGAGCTCTTTAAAATTTCCAGTGGTTTACTTTTGCTTATGAATCCTGAAGTATACTTTAGAACTAACTTTGATGAATATTTGAACAACTTGGTGATTTTTTCATAGTTTATCTATAGCCAGAAAGCAAAAACTATGGAAACTGAAATCTTTCTTGTCTTTGTGGCTGTATAGATGGATGAATAAACTCAAGGTTTTCCTTGAGTTTATCATGACTCATATATAATGTTAAACCATAGTTTAATATGTGCAAATGTAGCCAGTTAGCCTGTATGCATGTACTTTTCATATGGATTTGATTTCATACTCATATTGTTTGAATTCTATAATAGAAAAAGGCTACTGCTAACCTGCATCCTTAGGGAATTAATCCATGTAGCTGTTAGTCCAAGCCTTTCTTATATTATCTCCAAAGCTTTTACTAGCTTGCCTAAATGTTCCTGGCTTGAATACATAATTTTGAATCCTGGAACAATATTTTGACAACTATACAGAGCAGTACAGAAATTGCTTTAAAATAACATTTAAGAGTATGCTATCTTAAGAGATGCACGCTCAAGTTTAAATGTTTCCTAAGCATGCAGATTTCAGGCTATTTAAATTGATACACCAGATCATGACAGATTGCCATTAAAAGTTTGCTTAATTTATTTTACAGAGCTTATAGGCTACTCTGATCACAGGGCATTGGGTGGTGGCTGGAGACCCATAAATCTACCAAATTCAGACTAGCCTCTAGACAGTCCTGAGAGGCAAATAGGAAGAGCGCATAAGGGCAGCTGCCATGCTGAAAAGCAAACCTCAAATTCTCTGAATGCCAGCAATTATTCCCACCTCACCTTGGTACATCAGAAAGGCCTGGTTGTGACAATGAAACTGCTCAGGCTACATCCGCTGTGTTGAATTCCCACCCCCAAATTGCAAAGGACACTTTACTGATAGTGGAAACAGAGAAAAAGAGGATGAAGTCCTACCACAATTTATTATTTCAAGCATACACGCTTAATGTTTTGAAACAGGAAACTAAAGCATCAGGTATCCTGGTATAACCTAACCATACTATGTGCCATTGCCAGCATCACATAAGGAACAAAGCCAAGAGCTATACTTCACTGAAAAGACACACTTCTCCTGAAAGAGATGGCATTCATTCCAACATGATCCCTAACCACAAAACTATACGAAACAAGAGGGATGCATCATGTAATTGACTATTGCAGTGCACTGTATACGTGGCTGTCCTTGAAAAGCATCCAGAACCTGTCAGTCAGCTCAAAATGCAGAGGCTTGCACGGTTTTGTGTGAGTCCAAATTTGCATTTGTGTCACTTCTTTTGCGGAGCTTCACTGGTTGCTGATTTGCTTCCAGGTGTAATTCAAGGTGCTGGTCATCAGCTTTAAATCCCTACATGGCTTAGGGCAGGTTAATAGACAGAATGCCTCTCCCCAATTACACGTCCCTGGCCCAACAAACAGAAAGGCAGGGAATTGTTGCAAGTCCCAACTATCAAGAAAGTACATCCGGTGGAATCTAGGAAAAGGACCTTCTCTGTGGTGGCTCCCTTTGGAAACATTTCCCCCGGAGATAAGATTGGCCCCCACCTTGTTGCTTTTCTGCAAAGCCTTGAAGACATGGTTTTGTCAGCGGGCTTGGGAATTCCCACTCAGAACTGATCAAATGTGCTGACTGTTGTCACCACAACTGTGGGTGTGTGGGTGTTAAATTGTGGGTTTTGACCACCATCTGGAATCACGATGTATTGAGCAGCTAGTCCTCGGGCAAACAATCATTTCTTTAGTGATTGTTTAAGTTATAACAGCACTGAAAAAAGTGACTTCTGACCAGTACTCACACTTTTGACTATCACCGCATCGCCACAGTTATGTGATCAAAATTTGGATACTTGGCAGTGAGCATGTATTTCTGACAGCTGCATTGTCCTAAGTCATGTGATCATCATTTGCCAGCTGGCTTCTGAGAAGCAGTTCAATGGACAGAAACCAAATTAGCTTAATGATCACGATTCACTTAGTAACTGCAGTGATTCAGTTAACAACTGGTAAAAAAAAGTTCATAAAAACAGGTATGACTCACTTAACAACTTGTTTAACAACAGAAGTTCTGGTCCCAGTTCTCATAATTTGAGGACTACCTCTATAAATTAGTTTAAATACATACATACATAGATGCATGCATACATACGTATAGCAGTTAAGTGGGAGAGATAATACATTTCTGAGATAGATGTATTTTTAGGAATTTTTATGTAGGGAGGAAATGGAAGTTTAAATATTAATCTGATGCAAACCCTTAGCACTTAAATTGGTTATATTATATTCTGGTATATATACATATGTAGTTTAATTGCATCAGAAACATAATTTAGTATTTTTAATAAGATGAAATAATGAATCTGGGCAAATAGTAATATTTTGTACTAACTAAGCAACTCATTTTAGACTTTGCAACATGGCACACAACTCTCAATGTTATTGGATTTGAGAAAAAACTGCAATTTTAATAAGATTTTCGTATGCACTGAAATGTGCAATGAAAGACAATGGTTTGGTTTTTGTTGTTGCTGGCATTACAAGAAATTGTGCCTCTACTTCTGACTAAAAAGAACCTTTGTGTGGATAATTATTATTTTTGTTGTTTCTTTTCTTTTGCTTGGGGTGCGGGGAGGAAAGATTATCTCTAAAAAGAAATAGAAATAGAAACTTTAAAATAAATGTTAAATGTTGCAGAGGAAATCCAATAAAGGAAACGACTGGAGCAAGCCAATTTTTATTGTCTGTAAATCACAGGAGTCATTCATCTATGCCCAGCTCAGATCATAATTTATTAATTAAAACCTTTTAAAAATTATTTTAATTATTAAACCATAAGTGGTTTTTATTATTTCTAACATTTTGTCGAGATTCTGAAATACCTTTTTAACTTTAAAATTTCAATCCCTCATGACTTTAGTAATTAAATCTTTACACATGATTGCCAAACTTTAATTTATTCTTAGATTCCTATGTCTTTATTTTCTGTAATTCAAAGCAGCACATCTAATGCTTTTGATCCCTGTTTGCTGCACAGCAAAAACCTGCAAGGTGGACTCACCTGAGAAAGTGTCCCAAATTCACCTAGCTGGCTTTGGTACCTGAGGAGAGGGCTACAAGACCACACAGTATTCTGGTTGGTCTTTTGGTTTCTAGGCCCGCACCTTCAGCACTGTACCAACCAGGGGCCTCAGTTGAGTGCTTCAAGAAACATTAACAGCTTTATGAGGTGAATTAGGCTGCCTTTATAACTTTTAGCAGCACCCAACTGAGGCCCCTGCTTGTGACACTTGATCTGCCCAAATCCATCCTTTGCTCTTGGTTGCCAACCAATTGATTAATTGCTAGCCTTCAGGGGAACAAATCTAGGGCTGCTTCTGTGGATATGTATTTTGTGATACCCATTAAATTTTTTTTTAAAAAAAAACCTTTTCACTCCGAATTTAAAATACATGCCTGATGAGCAAATTCAGTGGAATGTTATCCATAAGAGGCTGCTGTTTTATATTCAAAACATTTCAAGCTTGAAATGGGTTGTTCTGGTGTTATTGGAAACGTTCTGGATATTCCAAAATGTTCGGTGCTTGATTTAGAACTTGTAACTTCTCCAGAAAAATTAATACGATATTGGAAACTTTCCAGAAACGACTGAACAATTGTTTCCAATTTGAAACGGCATGTTCAACACAGTTTTTTTTTAATATACTGGTTGTCAGTCATTTTATTCTTAATTAAGCCACATAACAAATCATATACTGTGTTCTTTTGTCCTTCAAAAGCTCTTCATAAATGGGATTGTAGGGCAGTGACTCAAAGACAAATATAATGTAGTTGCAAAGCAGTAGACAAATCCCGTATTCCAGTTTAAATTTACTTAGCTCATCACACAGAGGGTTGTAAATGTCTTTATAACACCTCTGGCTGTACTTCTTGTTTTATCCAATTCTCATCTATGTTTCGGGGTTTCTCCTTTGCAAGATCACTATGTTTATATTTCAACATATTCCTTTTAACCTCAGGGTAATTTTTTGCTACTTTATTGGTAGAAGATGGAGAAAATAGCAAACGTCCAAAACACAGTTGAGATGAGACCCAGTTTGAATACAGATCTGAACCCAATGTTAACAGTCACAAGATAAAATGGCAATCATTTGTAATATGCGCAGTAAGAAAAAGCATCCCCAAGTTTTGAGATTTTAGAAGTGATGGATGGGAGAGGCAGCACAATATACACTGCTCAAAAAAATAAAGGGAACACTTAAACAACACAATGTAACTCTAAGTCAATCACACTTCTGTGAAATCAAACTGTCCACTTAGGTAGCAACACTGATTGTCAATCAATTTCACATGCTATTGTGCTAATGGAATAGACCAGTGGTCCCCAACCTTTTTTGTACCAGGGACCAGTTTCACGCAGAAACACTTTTTCAAGGACCGGGGGGGGGGAGGAGTCCGAGTTTGGTGGTTTGCTTGCAGACGTTTCATTACCTGACTAGGTAACATCTGATGTTGTTACCTAGTCGGGTAATAAAACGTCTGCCAGCAAACCACCAAGTTCAGGGAGCGCCAATGCTTCCTCATTGCAACCCTGAGCGACAGATATTCTCTTCTATTGGGACATTTAAAACGGAGGGTTTCAGCTGCAGATTCAGGAACTGCGCCTGGCTGAGGAGCGCCTTCAAAACTGAGCGCTGGGTGGCGGCGGCCCACGGCTGTCTCCGCGGCTCAGGACAAGTCCCTGCAGGACGGCTGAGAAGCCCCACCTCTCGCCCCTGCCTCCCTCAGCCTCATCCCTCAGGTGTCTCCCTCCCTCCCTCAGCCTCATCCCTCAGGTGTCTGCCTCGTTCCTCTCTCAGTCGCTCTCTCGCTCCTCCACCAGCCCAGGAAGAAACTGCTTCAAAGAAGCCGGCAGGGTGGCTTTTCCTGTCGGCACAGCTCCCCCGAAGCGCCCGTTCACCCCCACCCCGCCGCCCGTGGTTCAATCCAGTGCTCCGTTCTGCCTGCCTGCCTGCCTTCGTTTCTGGTTGTTTCGGAGCAGCTTCGGCTGAGTAAAAGAGGCGAATAGTTATTATTCTCAGCCGAAGCTGCTCCGAAACAACCAGAAACGAAGGCAGGCAGGCAGAACGGAGCACTGGATTGAACCTGGATTGAGAGAGGAACGAGGCGGGAGGAAACTGAAGCCACTGAGCCAGAGAGTAGGACAGGCTTTGGTTGCTTCCTCCCTCCCCTTCTTTCATTTGTGTCCTTGAACCCTGATCCCAGCAGCATTCACCGAAGGCGAAGAAAGCCGCCATTTTTATTTTATTTTTTATTTTCTTTGCGGCCCGGTGCAAAGTGATCCACGGACCGGTACCGGTCCGCGGCCCGATGGTTGGGGACCCCTGGAATAGACAACAGGTGGAAAGCATAGGCAGTTAGCAAGACATCCCCAATAAAGGAGTGGTTCTGCAGGTGGTGACCACACACCACTTCTCAGTTCCTATGCTTTTTGGCTAATGGTTTGGTCACTTTTGAATGCTGGCGGTGCTGTCACTCTAGTGGTGGCATGAGACGGAGTCTACAACCCACACAAGTGGCTCAGGTAGTGCAGCTCATCCAGGATGGCATATCAATGCGAGCTGTGGCAAGAAGGTTTGCTGTGTCTGTCAGCGTAGTGTCCAGAGCATGGAGGCGCTACCAGGAGACAGGCCAGTACATCAGGAGACGTGGAGGAGGCCGTAGGAGGGCAACAACCCAGCATCAGGACCGCTACCTCTGCCTTTGTGCAAGGAGGGACAGGAGGAGCACTGCCAGAGCCCTGCAAAATGACCTCCAGCGGGCCACAAATGTGCATGTGGCTGCTCAAACGGTCAGAAACAGACTCCATGAGGGTGGTATGAGGGCCCGACGTCCACAGGTGGGGGTTGGGCTTACAGCCCAACACTGTGCAGGACGTTTGGCATTTTCCAGAGACCAAGATTGGCAAATTCACCACTGGCGGCCTGTGCTCTTCACAGATGAAAGCAGGTTCACACTGAGCACATGTGACAGATGTGACAGGGTCTGGAGATGCCGTGGAGAACATTCTGCTGCCTGCAACATCCTCCAGCATGACCGTTTTGGCAGTGGGTCAGTAATGGTGTGGGGTGGCATTTCTTTAGGGGGCCGCACAGCCCTTCATGTGCTCGCCAGAGGTAGCCTGACTGCCATTAGGTACCGAGATGAGATCCTCAGACCCCTTATGAGACCATATACTGGTGCGGTTGGCCCTGGGTTCCTCCTAATGCAAGACAATGCTAGACCTCATGTGACTGGAGTGTGTCAGCAGTTCCTGCAAGACAAAGGTATTGATGCTCTGGACTGGCCCACCCGTTCCCCAGACCTGAATCCAATTGAGCACATCTGGGACATCATGTCTCGCTCCATCCATCAATGCCATGTTGCACCACAGACTGTCCAGGAGTTGGGGGATGCTTTAGTTCAGGTGTGGGAGGAGATCCCTCAGGAGACCACCCACCACCTCATCAGGAGCATGCCCAGGCATTGTAGGGAGGTCATACAGGCACGTGGAGGCCACACACACACACTACTGAGCCTCATTTTGACTTGTTTTAAGGATATTACATCAAAGTTGGATCAGCCTGTAGTGTTTTTTTCCACTTTAATTTTGAGTGTAACTCCAAATCCAGACCTCCATGGGTTGCTAAATTTGATTTCCATTGATAATTTTTGTGTGATTTTGTTGTCAGCACATTCAACTATGTAATGAACAAAGCATTTAATAAGAATATTTCATTCATTCAGATCTAGGATGTCTTATTTTTGTGTTCCCTTTATTTTTTTGAGCAGTGTATATGATGTGTTTGATTCTGAGAATGCACATAAGTTAAGCCAAATCAGATTTGAGGTCAGCATGTATTCAATCAGTAAGGGCAGCTGGTGTAATTTTCTAACTGCCCCCCAGCGATGCTATCTCAAGGTCATTTTGTGAAATTGATTTGGTCCGTAACTCTAGTAAGCCCCCAATGGGAGTTTCACTAAGAACATTTTCAAAAATTAAATAAGCCCTAAAACTTTCATGAGAACCATTTTAGTGTAATGATTAAAGGCACCAGGCTAGAATCTGGGAGACAGTGAGTTATAATGCCAATGTAGGCATAAATCCAACTGGGTGACCTTGGGGGCCAGTCCCTCCCTCTCATTGAGAGAAGCAACCTAGAACTAAGAAGAAATTTCCTGACAGATCAATTAACCAGTGAAACAACCTACCTTCAGAAGTGAATTCTCCAACACTAAATTTTTAAGAAGAGATTGGACAACCATTTGACTGAAATGGTGTAAGATTTCCTATCTGAGCAGGGGGTTGGACTAGAAGACCTCCAAGGCCCCTTCCAACTCTGTTTTTTTTTAATTATTATTATTATTATTATTATTATTATTATTATTATTATTATTATTATTATTATTATTATTATTAGGAATAATATTATCCCAACTGCAAGGACTAGTCTAGGCAATTGCTAGAAATCAGCACTGACTCAAAAGCACCACCACCAACCCAATTCTACGAACCCTTTCCTATTAGCATCCCATCATCGCTATTTTAAGGCAGGGGTCCTCAACACCTGGTCTGTGGACCGGCATCAGTCCACAGCATGCCAGAAACTGGTCCATGCAAACAAAAGTGAAGCCCCGTCTGTGGGATGCAGGCAGCATGCGAAACCACGCGCCCTCCGGTCCATGGAGAAACCTCTCTCCATGGAACTGGTCCCTGGTGCCCAAAAGGTGGTGGCCCCTCTGCTTTAGGGCATCCTTTCCTAGCTTACTGCCTCCCAAATGACTTGGACTACAACTTCTCTGTGGATAGTTGCAGTCTAGCATATTTGAAGGGCATCGGGATGGATAAGGTTCTTTTGGGGAAGATGTTTGACTTTTTCCTAATTTTAACTGGGTGGACTTCGTAGAGACTCTTCATTTGATTGAAATCTGTGAATGGGAAACCAATGTAGGATCACTATCCGGTGGTGAGCCATCTTGCAAACAATCCCACCATCATAGGCTCTTTGTGAATCAGCTGCCCGCCTTTTGTATGACAAAAGAAGGCTGCGATTTTATAGAGATTCTCAATCATCCAGGTCATGGTTGTCCCAACGGTGCTTTTTCCAAAAGGTGACTGGCCTTTTTTGGGTGTGTGTGTGTGTGTGTGTGTGTGTGTGTTCCCTTTGAAAATGTTTTGCTTCTCGTCCAAGAAACTTCTTCTCTTCAGTTCTAAAGACGCCTCTTGAATGAGAAACAAAACATTTTCAAAGGGAAAAAAAAAACACCCCAAAAAGTCCTGTTGTCTTTTGGAAAAAGCACCTTTGGGAGAATTGAGTCTGTTGTTATCCAGCTTAAAGGCAGTCAGCAATTACATTTCATGTGCTTATTAAGGAAAACTGACAGTGTTGCTTGGAAGAGAGTTTGGAAAAGAGTTTCCCTGTGCCAGACCCTTCTTCACAATTTGGAGAGAGCATTCTGGAAAAGTGGTTTTAAGTATGTCTTGAAGACCCGATCGTCCTGTTGGAAAGCAAAAGGGAAAGGGGAGGGAAAGCATTAGGCATACGACTCGGTGGCAAAGACAAGGCAGAAACATAATAGCTTGATTTTCTCATTACAGCCTCATATAACTAACTGTCCATTTTTATATGTTCACTGCGTTAAACTAAATGTAGGGAAACCAGGGCTCCTAATAGAAAGTAAAATTTTCTCCTGTCCAGTTGTGTCCGACTCTAGGGAGCTGTACTTTTCCAATTCACCATCAATTCACTATTCCAATTCACGGTCAAAGAGCCCAGCATTGTCTCAAGATGCTTCCGTGGGTATACGGGCCAGCATGACTATACGCCGAGGTGCATGGAATGCTATTACCTTCTCATTGAAGTGGTACCTATTTATCTACTTGCATTTACATGCTTTCAAACTCTTAGGAGCCACCTCGTCATGCAGTCATTGGGTCTCGAACTGCCAACCTTCCAGTTGATAAGCCCAGCTAGGCCAAGTTCTTATCCAGAACAAAATAGCGATCTGCAAATAGTCCTTAAGAAACTTAAGACTAAGAAACCAATGCCATATAGGTCAAGACTGCTTTCATTGTAACAGTAATGGAATCCTACGAGTCTGAATGTGCTTTCCCCCTCCCTCGTTTTATCTGCGTGAACTGGGAAGGGGTGTGTGAGATGCTTTTTCAAATTAGTTTTTGGAATGGACACAAACCCACTTATCTGACCATTGCTTTGCTCACAGTTCTTCTTGTCCTTCAAGGCCATTCCTTATGGCCACTACAGCAAGGGAATTAGGGCTTGAGTGAAAGATTCCTCATCAAACATTTGGAAATGGACAAAAAGGGGAATGTTGCAAGCCCACGTTGTATGCTCAGAACTTCAGAATGATTGCATACTGTCACAAATTGCATCTGATGATCAGAGCTCACAAGGATGGACGGCAATCCATTGCAGCTAGTCCTCGGCTTACGACCACAATTGAGGCCAGCATTTCTGTTGCTGAGCAAGGCAGTTATTAAATGAGTCGCACCTGATTTTATGACCTTTTTTGCCACAGTTGTTAAGTGCATCATTGCTGTTAAGTAAATCATACAATCGTGCTTCCCCATTGGCTTTGCTTGTCAGAAGGTCACATGGTCACAAATGGTGATCACATGACCCCAGGGAACTCAACTCTTATAAATACAGGCCAGTTGCCAAGTGCCCAAAATTTTAATCATGACTATAGGGATGCTGCAACAGTTGTAGGTGCGAATATTGCAAGTTACTTTTTTCAGTGATGGTGTAACTTTGAATGGTCACTCAAAGAAAGGTGATTAGTTAAGGATACACATACACATACTTATAATGTGGCAATGCAGGCCTTGCCCGCTATTTCAGAGCTTTCCTATGCCAAGTCTCCATCCTTGATTTATGAAACTGCCTAGTTTTTTTTCCTTTTCTTTCTGCAGCTTGCTGGCAGCTACAAGCTGTGTTCATTGGGTTATTTGAGTCAGAAACCTAGATGACTTGCTTGTTTGAGTAGAAAACTGAGATTACTTGCTTCCCTTCCTATCATTATACTCATGCCAGTCACTTTATAGTGGAACAGAAGTGCATAACAGGAATGGAAGCACCAACATTTTGTCAGTAAGCAGAGAACATGTATTTTTCTGGGCAACTTAAAAACCTCAAGACAGCCAGGCAGGCAGCACTTTCAGGCAATGGTAGACAGAATGCTGATTAAGCAATTATACAGGTATTTTCTCTTGTCTTCTGATTTTCTGTTGCTGCTCAGATTATTTGGGACATGGGAAGGAAGAACTTAATGAAATGCAAAATTCTGTCCCATTTAATGTCCCATTGATTTTTGTAATGCCTTCATAGCTATTTAAAATAGGTTATGTTGATGTATGCCTCCATCCAATTTGATCTGTATTTTGAGCACTTAATTCATTCTAATTTTCCACTCAGGAGGAAAAAAAACAAGGTTAGAAAAATATCTCCCCATCTTCTCAGAGTAACCACTAATCCTGCTTTTTTCTTGAGCTTTCCCATTCAGCATTAACCAGGTCTAAACCCACTAATGTTCAGGATGACTGCATCAATTTCCATCTTTCTTTGTACCAGGTAATCTATATTCTTGTGATGACCTTTTTTTCTGATATCCTGCCTCTCTCGCTGTTTGCAGAGCTGCCTTTTTCTTTGGCTGTTAACATCCTTTTTCTCTCCTCCAAATCAGCCCTCAAATCCCCTTTTTTCTCCTTCCAAGGGGTGTCCCAAATCATTTCAAATTTAACCTTTTCTGTTTGTTTTGAGCTCTGGTAATAATAAACCCTTATGTTACAGTTAGTTCTATTTTATCACTTCTTATGTAAAGATGTGTATATATTTTACACATGTATATAGGATTAACCAGGTTATGGGGAAATCACACAAATAGTACATTTTTCATAATGCATGTTCAGCCTGCAAAATAGATTTTGTCTTCATCTGATGCTGAGAAAGCAACTATTTCCTGTTAAATACTGCCTTTTAATGCAAACCTGGTATTCCATTCCATCAGGACCCAGATTGTTGGGGGCAATATGCTGACTCTGTAAACCGCTTAGACAAGTCTAAGTGCTAATGCTATTGTTATTGCTATTCCAGTGATTCTTCTCACCTGGTGATTGGTTGGGGACTTCTTGGCCCACTCATAAAGCCTCTGATAGACATGGCCATCATAGCTTCCCAGGGCTGAATTTAAACATGCATCAGAAAAGTCAAAGGCATCCACCAATGGCACAGCATCTCTCCTGAAAGAGCACGGAAAATATTTGATGAGTCATAATTTATCAGTAATAAATTCTACCCCATAAAGCAGGGGTCACCAACCTTTTGGACCTCAGGGACCACCAAACTCATAATTTTAAATCCTGTGGACCACTAATGTGAATTTTGACTGACGGTGGCTTGCTGACATTTTCCCAGGGTCTCTGCAGAAAGCAGCAGAGATCCTGGGAAAATCCCCAAAAAAGTCTGCAGGAAAATTCCCCACCGCATTTTCATACCGATCGATCATTCTTTATTTGGTATCGCAGGATACTGTCTCCAGCTCCATTCTCAGAGGGAGAGAGAGAGAAAGAGGGAGAGAGAGAGAAAGAGGGAGAGAGACTTTTGACTTCGTGCAAGGAAAGCAGCAGAAGTCTTTTTTCTCTCACCCAAACTCCACCAGAATGGCGCAGCCTCTTGGAGCAGGATGCCTTGCAGGGTCCCAAAGATTCATTTCTGGCGGAGTTTGGGGGAGAGAAAGAAAGGCTTTTGCTGCTTTCCTTGTGTGCAGCCAAAAGCAAAAGAAGAAAGAAGCGGAAAGAAGCATCCCGATGGCCAGGAGAGGCACGTGGGGCGAGTTCCCTCCCTCCACTCTTTTCCCCCCTCTCCTCACTACCTCGTGTTGTTCACAATGCAAGCGACGCAAGCCTTGTGTTCCCAAGGGCCATGTGGGTGGCGTAGCCTTGTGTTCCTGTGCAGCCTGGATTAATTGCTTTGGGGGTGACATTTCTCTGTGGACCACCAAAATTTTCTCACAGACCACCAGTGGTCCCCAGCCCACTGGTTGGCAACCACTGCCATAAAGTACTCAAAGTACAACCCAAGTATCCAACAGAAGTTTTCATATAGACATCAACATTGACTGAAATCAGATTAGAAACATAAGAACTGAAGGTACAGAGGTAGCAGCAATTTTTAAGCATCAAAGTAAACAAGTTTTGAAAAATGAAGCACTAGTAGAATATGTGACTTATGGGCAGGAAATGGATGGATCACCATTGGGATAGAAGCCCCTAGAGAGGTAACCTGTGGCTGTCCCAAATGCTACAGAACTACAGTTCTCAGTATCTCTTACCATTGGCCCTGGCCTGAAGTTTCTGCAAGTAGTAATTTGGGTTCCAGACTTCTGTCTGTACAGAAGCATGTGTCCCTTTAAGTTTGTAAAATCTTGAATGTTTCAAACTCGTATCATCATGGTGGCATCATGTGATGTATCGCGACTTTTACCCCTTCGCTAGACCAGCCGTGGGCATGGCCACCATGTGACGCATCTGGCCCACAGGCCGCAAGTTTGATAGCCCTGATGTAGAACAACAGGAATTCAGAAGCAAGTGCCAAGGATCTCTAACTGAGCATGGAAGTTATGCATATGAGCAAGAATGAAAAATGGTACTTAGATCAACAATTTGTATAAGCCTTTGATGGTATAAGGAGTTAATTTTGTTCACAGTACAACTCCCATTTATTAATATAATTAACAATATAAGTTAATTATATTAATAAACAGTAGTGCAGCATAAACTATCATTGACCTAATATAAAAAGTATTGGGCAGGTTAGAGCAAAAATTTAGTCTGACCAGCTGCATGGTTGGAAAGAGATCCATTGGAAAGGTTCTACTTCTACACGGTAGGGTTTCCCTTTCAATATCTTCAATAGCTGCTCAAAGTGATTTCAGGAACTGAGAT